TGATCGTTTGCTGCCATCTTACAGTTACATCTTTTCAACTTTATATTCTCAAGTATATAATTGTATGTTTTTAAAACTAGATGTTTGCTCTTTAAGAAACTACAGAATATTAAAAACTTTGGATGTCTGTAAAATGAGATGATTTATATTACAGAAGGAATTTTTCTATAGGTAGGACTTAACATTTTTCATTATGAAGGGGGAAAAGAGCTTTAGTGGGGACCCTTTGATAATGTGCTTTACTAGTGCACCAGATGTCTGAGTTAAAATAATTTGGTTTATAAGGAAGCTTTTAGGAACATCTCTATTATAGAGTTATACCTCCATTGATTTGCCCAGGCACTTTGTAAATGTGTTTATCTATAATAACAATACAGTTGACCCTTAAACAACATGGATTTGAATTTCACGGGTCCACTTACATGTGAATTTTTTTTCAATAAATACGTACAGTGCTTAAATTTTATTTTCTCATGATTTTTCTTTTTTTTCTTTTTTAATATATTTTATTGATTTTTTACAGAGAGGAAGGGAGAGGGATAGAGAGATAGAAACATTGATGAGAGAGAAACATTGATTAGCCGCCTCCTGCACACTCCCCACTGGGGATGTGCCCACAACCAAGGTGCATGCCCTTGACCGGAATGAACCTAGGACCCTTGAGTCCGCAGGCCGACGCTCTATCCACTGAGCCAAACTGGCCAGGGCTCATGATTTTTCTTAATAACATTTTCTTTCCTCTAGCTTATTTTTTAATAACAATGCAGTATATAATACATATAACATACAAAATATGTGTTAACTATATGTTACCGTTAAGTCTTTTTCCTGTTAATAGTAGGCTAAGTAATTAAGTTTTTTGGGAAGTCTACAGTTATACGCAGATTTTCATCTGTGTGGATGTTGGCACTACTCTGCCTGCCCCTATCACTGGAGAAGAAGTGTTAGCCCAGATCTCAGTCTGGGAGGTACCAGAGCATAGAAGCTATAAGTTCTTTTTGGAGCCAAACTACCTGGATTTCAAATCCTACTCTATCACTTACTGTGTGACTTGGGCATGATACTTATCCTTCTTGTATCTCAGTTTCTACATCTATAATTTTTGTATAATCCTATATAATAAAGAGGTAATATGCAAATGAACTCTCACACCCTCACAAGATGGCTGCCTACGACCAGGTCAGCAGGGGGGTTAGTGAGGGACGACCAAACGACTGAACAAGCAGGCTGCATGGCGTGACCAGGCTGGCAGGGGGGCCATAATGGGTGACCAGGCTGGCAGGAGGGGCAGTTGGGGGCAACCAGGCCAGCAGGGGGGCAGTTGGGGGTGATTAGGCTGTCGGGGGGGGGCAGTGAGGGGTGACCAGGCTGGTGGCGGGGGGCAGTTATGAGTGACCAGACCGGCAGGGAGGGGGCAGTTGGGGGCAATCAGGCAGGCAAGCAGGTGAGCGATTAGGAGCCAGCGGTCCAGAATTGTCAGAGGGATGTCCGATGGGTCCCGGATTGGAGAAGGTGCAGGCCTGACTGAGGTGACAACCCCCCCTCCCCGCCCCCGCACGAATTTTGTGCACCGGACCTCTAGTCTATAATAATAAAAGCATAATATGCTAATTAGACTGGACATCCTTCTGGACGATCTTCTGGACAAAGCCGGGCTGTGAGGGAAGCCTGGGTCCCAGGTGCCTGCCAGCGGCCAGAGGGAAGCCGGTGCCAGCAGCCGGGGGAAGGAAGGCCTACTCTTGCATGAATTTCGTGCATCAGGCCTCTAGTAATTATGTATAAATCACAAGGTGCTATCAGAACTAAATGAGTTACTATTAAAAGTTCTTAGAACACTGCCCATTTTATTGTAAGCTCTGCAAAACTGTTAATAAAAATATGTGATTTTGTTAACACAAGACTTATACCTATGAAAAGATAACTTTCAAGATAAGGTAGTATATGCTGTATATTACAAGATTGGGGTTCATAAAATTCTTCAGGATAGAGAGACTCATTGTGGGTTGTATGGGTGGTATGAGAAGACCTAAGAATTCAAGGAAGAAGAGTATAGGTCAGAACAGAAGTTGAAAGTATACAATTCAGATAGAGAATAAATAATAGACCCAAGATAGAGGGGGTACTTAATGAAAAAACAGAATTGGAGGGACTGTATACAGCCCAAGTAAGTTGAAGAGTTAAGAAATACTGGAAGCTATCTTAGGAAGACAGATGTAGACACATTTTGGAGGTCCTTGGATACAAAGATAAGGCTTTGAGATTTTTATTTGTAGACCAGAAGCCCGGTGCACGAAAATCATGCGCTGGATGTGGTGGGGGGCGGCCCTCAGCCTAGCCTGTGCCCTCTTGCAGTCCGGGAGCCCTCAGGGTATGTCCAGTTGACGGCTTAGGCCCGCTCCATGGGGAGCGGGCCTAAGCCGGCAGTCGACATCCTTAGTGCTGCCACGGAGGCAGGAGAGGCTCCCGCCACCGCGGATGCACTCACCAGCCATGAGCCCAGTTTCTGGCTGAGCGGCGCTCCTCCTGTGGGAGCACACTGACCACCAGGGGGCAGCTCCTGCGTTGAGCATCTGCCCCCTGGTGGTCAGTGCGTGTCATAGCGACTGGTCATTATGCCTTTCGGTCGATTTGCATATTAGCCTTTTATTATATAGCAGTGGTCGGCAAACTGCTGCTTGCGAGCCACATGCGGCTCTTTGGCCCCTTGAGTGTGGCCACGAAGTTTCAGTCGCACTGTACGTGCGCACCCGCATGTGGTCTTTTGTGGAAGAGCCACACTCAAGGGGCCGCAGTTTGCCGACCACTGTTATATAGGATTAGGGCTCCCTAACTTGTATAAAGGAGAACGTTATGAATGATCTTGTAAAAAGTATTTAGCACAGCCATAGGCAGTGTGGCTTAGTTGGTTGGGGTTCGTCCCATGCACCAAAAGATTGCCAGGGCACATGCCCAGGTTGCAGCTTGATCCCAGATAGTGGCAGGCTGGAGGCAGCTGTACAGTGTCAATGTCGCTCTCATATTGATATTTCTCTCTCTATTTCTCTCCCTTCCTCTCTCTGAAAATCAGTTTAAAAATCTTAAAAAAGGGTACTTAGCAAAGTAGTTGGCAGAGGGTAATCATTCCATAACTGTTAGCTAGTGTTAGCAATAGTAGAAATGACTGTATTATTAATGACTGTAATTTCACAGAAAAGTTTTCTATATGTATTACAGTAATTTTAAATTTATACTGGATAAATTTAAATGCGTGCATTCACCAGACACTATCAGTAAACAAATACACACGGCTGGAGCGAGGTTTAATGCACATTAGAACATCTGACTACACATGTTAAAACTGCTGCAGAAAGTCACACCATGTGACAACAGAACCAACTACCACATGTGATTCGGTGTGATCACGTACTAATCATTTGCAGAACATTGTTAACAAGCAGTGACTCTTGGATTTGAATAGGTGGACTATAGTTGTAGACATGTAATATTTATGTTGGCAAAATTACTACAGTGTTTTTTCTGACATATGGCCTATTCCATAAAATTTGTTAAAAATAACAGTGAAAACATCCAGCTGGTTGCTCAGTGTTTGAGCGTTGACCTATGATCAGGAGGTTGCAGGCTTGATCCCCAGTGTGGGGTATGTAGGAGGCAGCCGATCAATGATTCTCTCTTATCATTGATGTTTCTATCTCTCTCCCTCTTTCTCTCTGAAATCAATAAAAATATATTTTCGCCAGGGGAGGGGAGAGGGAGAGACTGAATTAACAACAACAACAAAAACCCTATTAATTTACTTATAAGCAAATCTTGGGTAAAAGCATTTTAAAATTAACAGGGTATTAATTTTCACCTGTGACATACAGACTGGAAATTTTGTCCATTAAATCCAAAGTCCATTAAATTGAGGTCGCAAAATGGAGGGTTTGCTGTATTTGTGGTTTTATCTCGCATTGACCATACAACGTGAAGTTTGCCATGGGGCAAGGAGCTATATGTTACAGCCTTCAGTGGTTTCACTCATCTGTCAGGAAAACTCCTCCTATGAGTAAAGGAGAGATCACCTTTTCTCTGAAACTGTCTTGGACTCATCTAGGCAGGCTTTACATTTCCTTTCTTAGGCTCTCCCTTCCCCCCTTACAATATACTTGGCAAGACCCTTCATTTTAACAATGATCACATGGTATTTTAATTCTCTACATTTTTATTTCTGCAGTAGACATAAGCTCCTTAAAGGCTGAAACTGTTCCCTTTCATTACTGTGGCATTAGTATCTAGGGAAAGTATTAGATATAGGTAAAATAATTGAGTTATAAAATAATTGCAGCCCTGGCTGGTTTGGCTCAGTGAATGGAACGTCGGCCTACGGACTGAAGGGTCCCGGGTTCAACTCTGGCCAAGGGCACATGCCTGGGTTGCGGGCTCGATCCCCAGTGGGGGGCGTGCAGGAGTTAGCCTATCAATGATTCTCTCTCATCATTGGTGTTTCTCTCTCTCTCTTTCTCTCTCTCTCTCTCTCTCTCTGTCTCTCATCTCTCCCCCTTCCTCTCTAAAATCAATAAAATATATTAAAAAAATAATTGCAAGAGTATTTTTGAGTAATATTGGTATTCATACATTAAATTACCAGTAAATATTTGTTTTATCTCATCATAGAAATCTCTTAGACTCTTTCTATATTGAGTAGTTAAGGTTATATCAAATTCAATGCTCTAAGAAAATTTTTTAAGGGGAAAAACTAAGAAGAAGTATTTACTAATAAGTACTGTTTTTCTTTGTGTTTTTTATAACATGCTTATAAAACATTTTTTTAGATTCGAATATAAGTAATTTTCTTTCTTCAGTGAAAATGTTTACTCAGTAAACATTAATAAAAATTCAGTGGTTATTTTTTCACCCAGATAACTTGAGGTTCATATTGAGATGATTTATTCATCTATAGTTAAGTTAAAAAATGTTATTTTATATGAAACATTGTTTAATGTGTATCTCTGTTTTCTTAGGCATCATTCTTAACAAAGAAGTTAAACATTGGTGGAAAAAGAGTAAACCTTGCTATATGGGTAAGTTAACCTTGAAAGTTAAGGCCTCTACCGTCTTGGTACTCTAATAACAGTTTGACTCAAGGAATAGTAATTTGAAAACTTGAATTTTCTTTTAAATTAACTCCAGATTAGCCAAAGCTTTTTAAAATATTTTTTTCTAAAATCTGGTTAATAATGATATCTTGAATACAATTATATACATGAATATTGCTATCATAACTTTTCAGCTGGGTAAGGATTAACTCGTGTTAGAGATAGGACAGCTGCTTAGCTTTTTAAAAAAAATAATGGTTTTTTAAAATTTTTTATTTTAGAGAGGAAGGGAGAGGGAGAGAGAGAAAAAAAAAAACCATTCAATTGGCACCTTACACACGAACCTACACAGGAATCAATCATAGTCCCTTCAGTGTACAGGACTATGCTCAACCCACTGAGCCACACAGGCCAGGGCCACTTGGCCTTCCCCCTGTGTCTCTATGTTCCACTCTTCTAAGGGAGTGGCTGGTGGGGAAAAGGGTGAGGGTGATGCAGTAGGGTACCTGTTGGCAGGTGGTCCTGGTGCTTCCTCTCTTTCCTTGTCTCTTCCCTCTGTGGGAAGCCTAAATTTAGGGCCAGGCCTATACCTGGCTTATAATGCCATCTTGGTCATTCTGACCCCGAGGCAACTGAACTGTTTTTTTAGTGAGAGTGGGATGATTGCTGGGGAGGAAGATGGTTGGGAAGGAAAATGGAAACTTTGTATAACAGTAAAACATTAAATATTAATTATAACTTGAGTTTTAAAAAGTTTTTGTAACCTGCTTTGTTTCTTGTAACCGTGTTTTGTGGTTATCTATAACTTCATGCCCCGCTTTTTGTGGTCATGAACTTTTAGTCAAAAGTTGACTATAGTTGCAATAGCAGGTATATTTTTTTCTTCTGATATAATAAGCATTTGCTTCTTTATTTAGGATACAGCAGGTCAAGAGAGATTCCATGCATTGGGTCCAATTTACTACAGAGATTCAAATGGAGCTATTTTAGTTTATGATATAACAGATGAAGATTCTTTTCAGAAGGTATTTTATTTACTTACTAGAGGTCCAGGGAACGAATTTGTGGAAGGGTGGGGTTTGGCCGGCCCTGCCCCAATTGGGGCGGATCGGGGCTGGGCCTGTCAGGAGGGGGAGATGGCGGGAGGTTGGCTGGCTGGCCCACCCCGATTGGGGCCCGATCAGGGCTGGGTTGGCTGGGGAAAAGGCCATGGGCAATTGGCTGGCGGGCCCCGCCCCCTATTGGGTTGGGGGGCCAGTTGGGGGTGGGACAGGCCATGAGGAGGGGCTGTGGGCAGTGGGCCAGCCAGCCCTGCCCCCAAATGGGATGGGGGGGTGCCAGTTGGGGGCCAGCGGCTTGTAGGAGGAGCCATGGGTGGTTGGTTGGCTGGCCCTGCCCCTGATCGGGGTGAGGGGGCCGACCTGGAGTTGGGCCGGGCAGGGGGAGGGACTGCAGGAGATTGGCTGGCCGGCTCTGCCCCCAGTTGGGGGGCTCAGGGGCAGGTCTGGCTGCGGGGAGGGGCTGTGGACTGATCAGGATGGTGGGGGCCCATAGGGGACAGGGCTATCGTGGTGGGGTGGGCTAATTGGGGGCGGGGCTGGCCAGGGGGAAGGGAGGGGTCGTTTGGCCGGCCGGCCCCACACCCCATGCCCTGATCAGGCCAGTTCGCTGGCCACAGTGGGCGTCATAGTGACCAGTCATTACAGTGGTTATGGCTGTTACAATCTCTGGTTTTTTATATATATAGATGTATAGATGACTTAATAGAACAACACTGAATTTTCAAGTTTCCATAACATGCTTTTGTTTACTAATTTGATTAGTCTTGATTTTAAAGATATTGTTGTATATAAATTGTGACCACTCATATTTTTTAATGGAGTATTTAATTCATGTCAGCAATGTGAATAATAGTTGTTAATAGTTAAAATTACATAGCTTTCTTAGACCTTAGGAAAGAGAATCTGAAGTGAAACTTCAGGAAAATATAGAGGCTTTATATTTTTTCCCTGTTAAAGAAAAATCACATGCATTTCTTGGATTACATGCATACTGGGCCAGTGAAATCTTGGTACGGCTGCACGGGCTTCCTAATTGTGAAGAGGAAAACGGAGAACTAAATCAAATTTAAGCTCTTTCTCCTCACTAAATGTTCTGAAGGATATAATATAACTGTAAAAAGTGTTTATTTTATAGCTCCTCCATTTTTTTCACCCCTTTTTATTTATTTAATATTTATTTAATATTTTTATTGGTTTCAGAGAGGGAGAGGGGGAGAAAGATAGAAACATCAGTGATGAAAGGGATTCATTGATCGGCTGCCTCCTGCACACCCCACACTGGGGATAGAGCCTGCAATACTTGGCATATGCCCTGACTGGCAATCAAGCTATGGCCTCCTGGTTCATAGGTCGATGTTCAACCATTGAACCATACCATCTGGGCTTGTATATCAATAATATAGAGTTGGGACCAAAAATGAGTTACCACCATTAAACTTATCTCTGAACTAGGGGCCCCGTGCACAAATTCATGTACTTTGAAAGGAACTGGGCTGCGAGACTGCGGTGGGCACAGGGGTGGCTCTCGGCCCATCCTCCTCGACCCTGCCTGGCCCCTCCCACTGTGGTCCCCGGGCTCCTGGTCTCCTGTCTGCCGGCAGCCCTGCTCCTGCTGCCACCGCTTCCACGTGCTGACGATGCCGGCCCTGCTCACACCTTCTAATAGTGCGGAGTGATTGGGGCGGGTATGAGCCGCGGCTGCTGCCCTGATTGCCCCTTAGGAGCAGGTAGAGGTGGAGAAACCCTCAGGGGCGATTGGGGCTGGCAGCCACTGCTCACACCGCTGATGGCGCCAAGAGATCGGGACCAGCACCGGGTGCCAACAGTGGGTTCGAGCAGTAGCTCCGGCGCTGGCAGTGGATGTGAGTGGGGCTGGCACCGGCAGCAGCTGCGAGCGCCCGGCAGGACCATGGTGCGCCAGAGCAAAGAATTTTTAGTAACCACCAGCGGCTTGCCCCAATGACAGTGACTGGCGCCCTGCCTTGGTCTGGCACCCCTGCTCCACCATCCCACTGCGGTCGATGCCATCCATGTTCTGCACTCTGCTGCCTGCTGCTGACGCCCACCATGTTCCACGTGCACCCCCTGGTGGTCAGCGCATGTCAGAGCGACCGGTTGTTCCACCATTTGGTCTCTTTGCATGGCAGGGTTTTATCTGTATAGATTGTCATCACTATTAGGATAGTGACTGATTATTTATTTGACCTTCCCTCTGAAAGCTCCTTTGGAATTTTTCAAGGGTGTATAACCAAAAGGGGTAATTTCCAAAGCAAAAACTTACCTTAGCTTGAGTTATAGTTGTTTCATGTTGAAATTGCTTGCCTTTTTAGGTTTTTTTTTTCTTTTCCTTTATCTCCAAGCATTTAACTGATGAAGCAGATATGTGTTAGCTCTTAGATCAAGCATGTCAAACTCGCGGCCAGTGGGCTGTATGCCTCGTTTAAATAAATGAGGCATGCAGCCTGCCGGCCACGAGTTTGACATGCTTGCCTTAGATTACTGATGACATGGAAAAACTTAGTTTAAAAGTAGGAAAATGAAACAGCTTGCAGATTTAATGATATTTTCAAGTTATTTTGGGGCTGCTATTTGGTGCAATTTCTTAGCCCTTCCTGCCTTTTTTAATTTTGTAATATATTTTTAAAATTTGGTCTTGGAGGGAGAGAGGGAGGGAAGGGGGAGAGAGAGAGAGAGAGAGAGAGAGAGAGAGAGAGAGAGAGAGAGAGAGAGAGAGAGAAAAGAGAGAGAGATGTAATAGAGAAACATTGATTCATTGCATTTCGTACACGCCCCAACTGGGTATGTGCCCTGAGCAGGAATCGAACCTGCCACCTCTTGGTACACAGGCCGATGATCCAACCAACTGATTCACACTGGTCAGGGCCCTTCCTGCCTTTTTACATTAAAAAAATGGTTTAGGTATCTTCTTGATAAAGAGAAGGTTAAGCCCTGCCTGGTGTTGCTCAGAGTTTAGAACGTTGGCTTGTGAACCAAAGGGTCACAGGTTTGATTTCTGGTCAAGGGCACGTACCTGGGTTGGGGGCTCACCTTCTGACCCCAGTCAAGGTGGGTGTAGGAGGCAACCAATCCATGTGTCTCTCTCACATTGATGTCTCTCTCTCTCTCTCTCACTCTCACTCTCACTCTCTCTCACTCTCACTCTCTCTCTCATGTGTCTCTCTCACATTGATATGTCTCCCTCCCCCTCCCCCTCCCCCTCCCCCTCCCCCCCCCTCCCCACTCTCCCACAATGGGAAAAATGTCCTCTGGTGAGGATTAACAAAAAGAGAGAGAGGGAGAGAGGGAAGGTTGAGTCTCTTAGTTGAAAAGTGACCATTTATTTTGCTGAGTAGCAAAACTCCTAAAACTTGGTGGTTTAAAATTATTTACTATTTCTTATGATTTTGTGCGTCCTCTGCTATATTTGGTGTCAGCGAAGTCACTCATGCAGTTGCATTGAACTAGGAGTTTAGCTGGGCTGGAACCATCCAAGGCAGCCTGGTTCTCCTCCATATGGCTTCTCACTCCATTTGGTGTCTCATCTTTTGGTTCTCTCACCACATGCTCTCTCATTATTCCTTATTCTAGCCTAAGCTTCTTATATGATAACTGGATCCCAAGATTGTAGCTGCCAGTCCTTACGGCTTAGGTCTGGAATTGGCATAGCATTATTTCTGCCATGTTCTCTTGGTCAAAGCAGGTTACAAGGCTAGCCCAAATTCAGAGGAAAGGGAAATAGAGTCTGCCTCTTGATAGGAAGATTGACAAAGAATTTGTGACCATCTTTAACTCACCACAGAATGTATGGGGTAATGAATTGGATGCCTGCGGAGGGAGCTCTTTTTAGAGGTGAATAACAATTTTTTTTAACTGGTTAGATTTGTGATACTATATGTATAGTATACATATAGTATATATGTAGAGTAATACATAATTGGATTCTGACATGTTTCCTTTGAAGTGATGAGGATGGACATTTTATACCAGTACTATCAAATTTTTCTTAACTAGGGGCAGAAGTTAAATGCTTTTCTGAAAACTCTATATACGCATGAATGAAGCAAAAAGATGGGGCTGTTCTGAGAAAACTGGTTCAGTGCTGTTACAGAGACAAGGTGTTGATATTGATTACCTTTGCTTTTTTAAAGATTTTGGGTTTACTAAAGAGTTAGTTCCTGTACATTCTTTTTTTTTTTTTTTTTTTGTCAGGCAAATATCTTTACTTCTGAAGAAGGGTGTGCACACACATGGTCTGGGAGCACACACATTATATATATTTTAAAAAAAAAGATTATAGTGGAGCTTAAAAATTCCTATAACCTAGTGCAGGTATAGCTATTTTTTTTATTGGTTAAGTTGTTACATATTTGTCCTTATCCCCACATTACCCTCTATTCCCCCCCCCCCCCCACTCATGCCCTCACCCCCCTGTTGTCTGTGTCCATTGGTTAGGCCTATATCCTTGCATATAAGTCCTTTGGTTGATCTCTCCCCCTTACCCCCACCATCCCCTACCTTCCTTCTGAGGTTTGACGGTCTGATTGATGCTTCTCTGTCTCTGGATCTGTTTTTGTTCATCAGTTTATGTTGTTCATTATATTCCACAAATGAGTGAGATCGTGGTTCCTCTGCATTCTTGCAGGGAATAGGAGTATAGTGCTGGTATATTTTTACCATCGGACCAATTGGACAGTAAATGCTTACCATATATTTAATGTAATATTTGTAACTTATAAATAGATATGTGTGTAATTTTGGGGGGAGGTATATAAGTTCTGTGTAATTTGATTGCATACAGAATAAATTCCATTACAAAAAATGAAAGGAGGTATCCAGGTGTTTTTTTTTAATCTTATTTTATTGTAGTCAACATCATTAAAATCACGGCTTCAAAAGATTAATTTTCTTAATTCTAGTTTATTCCCAGCTGGGCTTATTGCTATGTCCATAATGAAGTATCAGTTTGTTACTAGAGTCATTGTATACCAGTGGTTCTCCAGGAGGGGGTGGAATTGTCTGCAGACATCTGTGGTTGTTACAACTGGAGGGTGATACTGGCAGAGTGCTTAGGCAGCCAGGTTTGCTGCTAAACATCATATATTGCATAGGACAGTCCCTCATAACAGAATCATCTGAGTCAAAATGTCAATAGTTGCCAAGGTTGAAAAAAACCTGTCATATACCAAAGGATGGAAGTTTCTTTTGCCAGTCTTTTAGGTGCCCATATATACTTTTTCCTTTAAGTGTGTGACACAGAAGCTCCTATGCTCTGTATTTCAGAACCAGTTGGGTTACGTTCTTGTGTTCTTAAGTCCAAAGTGGCTCTATGCAAGTACCTGTTATCAGAGGCTGGAGTTGACATGCTTTTGCTCTGGTGAATAACTTTGCTTGAATCTATGGAAGGTTTATGAACATTTGTAATAAGAGGTACTTCTCTCTCTACCTATAGGTAGAGACAGAGAGAAATATATCTATTGGATGTTTGTATGTGTGTTGTTTGTAATATAACCTGGCAATAAATGATCTTACAGTGAATCATTTCAGGTAACAACTAAATATATGGCTTGTTAGCCAAATTCTGAGGTATTTTGACATTGTTGAATTTTGGAGTGTTGTAATGATAGTCTTGTAACAGAATTTGTTTTAATATTAATTCTTTTATATACACAGGTAAAAAACTGGGTCAAAGAATTGCGGAAAATGTTGGGAAATGAAATCTGTTTATGTATAGTTGGTAAGCATCATTATTTTTAAAAAATCTCCTTTGTTTTCTTAATGCTTTATAAAGAATAGTAAACCAGTAATTCTCATTTTAAAATTATATGAGAAAAGAAGAATGGCATTTTAATGCATAATGTTTTAGAATAATTTAGTATTTGGAATTACTCTTTTAGGAGATTCAAACTCTGTACCTCATGGAATGCCTTGGGGAACAAATGGGAAGCTAAACATGTAAGGCTTTAAGTCCCCAGCCTTGTTTCAATTTGACTTTTACCTTTTCACCATAAGATTTTATTTAGAATTAAGTTCAGGAACTAAAATTAAAACCAATTACTTAAGCTAATGTTCGTATTCTCTACATTTAACTATATACATTTTTTAAAATCCTCATCTAAGAGCATGCTTAGAGAGAGGGTGGGAGGGATAGATGCTGCATGTTAGGCTAGATGGCAGGAATGTTTCAGAACTGAACACTGAGATAGTAGGCTGTATAGGACTTTGGGGCCAAAGTTGCAGCTAGTCATTAGTGTGTTTGGCCTGGCTTTGTGTGGCATATGGGACTTGCTGGGGGTAGAAGTGGCTATGATTATTAACAAATGAATATTTGAGTATTTAGAATTGGGATTATCTCTTGGAAGAGAGAAAGAAATGGCTGATATATACTCGAAGTCTCAAGAGCTTGTTACTTGATGAAGTTATAAAGTAACATTTTTAAAAAACTGGGTAAATAAGCTTATGAATATTAAGCTCAATTAATGTAAACTGTATATTCTTCATGTTCATATTATAAGAAGGTTTAGGAATATTGTGTCTGGTAGCTTACTACTCCAATAGGGTAAAATATTCATATTTAATGTTATATATTATTTATTAATGATTGGTATAAAGTATAAAAAGCTCACTCTCTTTTCTTTCCTATTGGCAAATGTGACATGGGATTTTAATTGTAATTCAGAATTGGAAGAATTTGGAGAGCCCATTTATCACAAAAGGAAAAATTTCACAGTTAATGAAGTCATATCACCAGTACCTTAGAAGCCCCACCTGTGCTTCTTTCTCATCCCCTCACTACCCAGCTGCCTTCTCCTCACCATCTCCTACTGCCAAACACTATCTTAACTTTTTACTTCATGGACTATTTTTTTTTTAAATTTTATATAAGTGTAATCATAGAGAATGAACTCTTTTGTGTCTGTCTGATTTCTTTGACTTTATGTTTGCAAGATTTCTCTGCATTCTTGTATATAGATGTAGTTCATTTTATTCTCTTTGCTATCTAATACTTTATCCTGTTGAACATTCTACAGTTTATCCTTTTGCTATTGATGAACATTTGCATTATTTTTTTCACCTAGTGATGTTCATTCTATTCTCTGTAGTAGTTCTTTTCTAAGAATTACATATTTATTATTTATTATTCCAGTAGCTCAGTAGTTTTATTAATAGTAAGTAGTTCTTTTGTTTTATTACTAAATTCAAAATAATAATACCTCACAAGATTGTGGTGAAGATTAGATATGATTTGGAGAACACTTAGGATAGTGAAGGCATTGGACAAATATTTGTTCCTTTTCCTGAACATAAGACAACCTTTCAAACCTTTGAAGCCTGTTTGGATAGTTCACTTACAGTCTTATATTCTGGGTTTTCAACTTTTTTTATTGGTCTAACTTCCAAACATTTTCATCATCCTAATTATTTTTTATGGGTTTATTTCAATTTATCAATGTGTCTCCTATGCTTAAAATGAACCCTAGAATCTAACATTATTGAGCCAGTGTATACTTACATGGCTCTCTCTCTTTTTTTATAAATTCTTACTGTCCTTCTACCAACATTGCCCAAGAATGTATACACTTTTTAGCCATGTCAGGTCAGTGTCTCTTTTATATAGATTTGAGATAACAAAACTCTGAATTCCTTTTTATAAATATTGCTCTTTTGTCAGTCTTTTCCCATCTTGTTCTTCTATAATTGTTATTTAAGCCTAAGAATAGGAATTTCAACTTATCTTATGTTTCTAAATAGATTAAATTAGATACTGAGTTTTTTAGGTCTTTATCTAGGCCTCTGATAATGTGTTAACCAATAATAGAGAACCTCATACTTCACTGGCAGAGACTTTTCCCCCTGCTAGGTTTTAATTAATCCATTGATTACATCCTATTTGGTCTATTTGATAGTATTTTGGTTTTAGTCTGCCCTTAACATTTGTATGTTTGTTAAATATTTATTATTTTTATTTTTACTACTTTTAAAATATTTTTTTAAAGTGAGAGATGAAGGGAGAGGGAGAGAGAGAAACATAGTTGTGAGAGCAAAACATCAATAGGCTGTCTCTTGCATGCTCCCAACCAGGGGTCTAGCCCAAAACTCAGGAATGTGCCCTTACCAGGAATTGAGCCAGCAACCTTTCCATGCATGGACGACACCCAACCAACTGAGCCACGCCTGCCAGTCCCAAATATTTATTATGACTAGAGGCCTGGTGCATGAAATTTGTGCATGGGCAGGGGGTCCCTCAACCCAGCCTGCACCCTCTCCAATCTGGGACCCCTCAGGGGATGTCTGACTGCCTCTCGCAATCTGGGACCCCTGGCTCCTAACCGCTAGCCTGCCTGATCGCCCCTAACCACCTCTGTCTGTCTGCCTGCCTGATCGCTTCTAACTTCTCTCTTACCGGCCTGATCGCCCCTTACTTCTCCCCTACCGGCCTGAACACCCCTAACTGCTCCACTGCTGGCCTGATCGCCCCTAACCACCTCTGCCTTGCCCTGCACCCGGGACCCAGGATTCCCTCCTCCGGCCGGTCGCAGACACCTGGGATCCGGGCTTCCTTCCCTCTGGCTGGCCACAGGCACCCAGGACCCGGGTTGGCTTCGCCTGGGCCAGCTGTAGCTGCAGGGGACTATGGGTGGGTGGCTTCGCCTGGGCCGCAGTCGCAGGTGCCCAGGACCGTGGGGCGGTAGCTTGTCCCTCTCCCGGGCCCCAGCCCCAGCCGCTGGCCTCCCAGGACCATGGGGCGGTAGCTTGTCCCTCTCCCGGGCCGCAGCCTGGCTGGTCCCCATTCCTCTCTCGCGACCTCATTTGTGCCTGGCTGGTCCCCATTCCTCTTTCCCCAGTGTTGAGTGTCTGAGCCGTTATGGCATGATGGCATAAGGGCATGATGACCATTTGCATATTAGCTCTTTATTATATAGGATAAGTTATGTATTGAGTGCCAGGTACTTTTCTAAGAACTACATATTTATTATTTCATTTACGCCTCCTGACAATACTGCAAGGGAGGTGTTGTGGCCATTTCTATTTTATACCTGAGGAAATGGACTTGGAGAGCTTGATACCTTCCAAAATACATAGCTAGTTGGAGGTAGACCTGGGATTTTAAGTAGGATCTGTCTGTTACTTCAAGCCCATATTCTTAATCAATATTATATATTGCTTACTATGTACCAGGCTTTGGGAATTGTGTAGTGAATAAGTAAACAAAATAGATAATGCCTTTGTTTTCTCAGAGTTTATTGTGTAAGGAGAGAGAGAAAAAACAAGCGATTATATATTATGATAAATGCTATGAAGGATGGAGTACTACAGAGTGCTGTGATAGCTCAGAAGCAAACCTAACTAAATTTAGGGAGTCAAGGGTTAGGGGAAGATTTCCTAGAGCATTGGATTAACTAAGTTAGCTAGATGGAACCAGCAGGGTGTTTGTAGAAAGCATCTATCATGGGCTTTAACTCTTTCATAACAAGATTGATTTTCCATATGATTATTCACTGTAATGAATATGGCTAATATTAATAACTACTCTTTATTGAACATGTACTGTATGCTAAGCTTAGTACATATATCATATTTTCACATCAGCCCTGCAAAGTTTGTTAACTATATTTGTACAAAGTGAGACTAAGAGACATTAAGCAATTTGCCTGAAATCTTATAGCCATGAAATGAGCCTGGATTTAACAAATTTTCTTCGGATTTAAAAGGCTTTTGAAAGCTGCTTATTACTAAACCAGATACCATCCAATTTAAGCAAAATATGGTTCTAGCTCTTTTTAGGCCCTCTGCTCTTTAGTCAAATAGGTGTTTTTAAAGAAGATAAAGTTTTTACTGTTCTTAACAGGGTGGCTTTTTTTCCTCCCTCTCCAGTAGCTTTAGCCAATTTTTTTTTAATCTTTCTAGTACTGTACTTTCAAGTAGGTGTTTTTATCCTGTTTTCAGGTGTTTTAAGCCTATTAGACAGTTTCCTTTTAGCTGTGCCATCGTATTAAAGCAGGTATGAACCTTAAAGCCTAATCCTTTAGCTGTCTTGCTTTTAAAAGAATATAGAACTAAAAAGATTTTGAGCTTTGGAAAGGTATGCATTGCTAACAGGCAGTTTTCTGTGACTTAGTCTGTGCTTACCCAATCCATTATGAACACTGATTGTTCAAAGAAATAGTAGTTATTTCATAGAAGGATTTAAAAACTTTTGTTTAAAATAGTAAGTAAGCCAAAACCGGTTTGGCTCGATGGCTGGAGCGTCGGCCTGGGGACTGAAAGGTCCCAGGTTCGATTCGGTCAAGGGCATATACCTTGGTTGCAGGCACATCCCCAGTAGGAGGTGTGCAGGAGGCAGCTGGTTGATGTTTCTCTCTCATCGATGTTTCTAACTCTCTATCCCTCTCCCTTCCTCTCTGTAAAAAAATCAATAAAATATATTTTTTTAAAAAAATAAATAAATAAAATAGTAAGTAATTAAAATAGCTATTTTAATAACTGGGTTTATTAAAGTTAGTTAAGTTTAAAATGTTACTAAAAAATAAAACTGAGTAATTTCCCCCAAGTAATCATTTGAGGCAGTACTCTCTTTATTCTCATTTTTTAAAAATATATATTGATAATTCAGATGGAATTTGGGGGGAAAAAAAGGGGGAGGGCAAAAAGATCTAGGAAAAAACCCATCTAGGGTTTTAGTTAATTGGAACAAAGGTCTTGCTTCCTCTAGGAGGCAATCTTGTTTTACCTTTTTAAGAGTGGCAGAATATTGTGCCTCTGTTTATTGGAACCACTGGCCACTAGGTGGTGCTTTTTGCATTCTTATAACATAAATAAAACTTTTCTTTGGTGACTGTTGAATATATTGGCTATAATATTCAGCAAATTAAAATTTTTATTGAAAAAGTTTAATGTAGGAAATCAGAACTAATATGTATCTTCCTGCTGAGGTATATAAATAACTGTTTAAAGAGGGAAGAATTCATTACTAAATTTGTTGGTACCTACTGAGCTTTAGACTACTTCCCTCCCTCTCATCCTTAGACTATGGAGTCAGGTAGTTGATTGCAGTTGCTTACAATTAGGTGCTCAGATTATTTGAGGTCCTTTACATGTAGAACCTCTGCACTTATGCTTCTCAGTTCCAAGCATTGAATCTTTCAATAGGTGCTTTTACTTCAATGCTCTTCTAGGTTTTCTAAGGTCCTAAGAAAAAGAACTTTATTTACAAGGTTTCTTCCCCCCTCCCTAAGTCATAATAGAAAAAAATAAAATATTGTTTGAAGTTTCCTTCCTTAGGGTATTTTCCCCCATTCCTATCTGTTATTTCCATTCCCTTTAGCACTTGGTGTATCCAGCCAACTCACTTCTACTTCTATCCTGCATTTAATAAGGAATCTGCATTTTGCAGTGTCTTCACTTTTGTTCTGGTGGCTTTTTATCATAATCTCAGTTTGGTTCCCTTGTTTAAGGACGGCTAAACTTATTTTCAGTAATTTTAAATGTGTATAGTGTGCACATATATATATTTTTTTCAGTTACCATTGACATCAAATATATTAGTTTCAGGTGTACAACATAGTGATTAGGCATTTATATAATTTAAGAAGTGATCACCTCAATAAGTCTAGTACCCGTCTGACACTATACACAGTTATTACAATATTATTGACTATATTCCATATCCTGTACTTTATGTCCCTGTGACTAATTTTATAACTGGCAGTTTGTACATCTTAATCCCTTCCACTTTTTCACTCATCCCCCTATTTCCCCACCTATCTGGCAATCACTAGTTTTTTTCTCTGTGTGAGTTTTTTTCCTCTGTATCTGTGAGTTTGTTTCTTTTTTGTTCAATTATTTTGTGGTTTAGATTCCACATATACTAGTAAATAAAATCATACGGTATTTGTCTTTCTGACTTACTTCATTAGCCTAATATTCTCTAGGTTATAATGTGCACATACTGTATTAAGTTCTCTCATGTTTTTAAAACAAAAGAGTATAGTTTCCTCCTCTGTGGTGGTGAAGTGCTTAAAAAGCCATACAATTCTTTCTTTATCCAGCTTATATCATCCAGGAAACCAAAATACTCTTAGGATCCAAGAGGCTAGCCTAATATATTTTTGTGAACAATAAGGTAGCCTTGCTTAATTATTAACTAACTCTAAAGTTGATTGGGGACCATTTACACTTGGCTAAGAAACATAGGTTTATGTCTAGGTTCCCTAGTGATCTTAGTCTCTGTAATACTGCAAAACAAGGAATAGTGACCGTATTTTCTCTGACAGACTACAGCTTCAGGAATGCTATGCATTGAGCCATTTGAGGGAGGTTGAGGCATTCATCTTGATAGATATGATCAACCCTCATGTCATAAGGGTTATGGTTATAATTTTAAGATATTTAGAAGTCTGATGAGGATTTGTATTACTTTTCCAGGTGGTTAAAGTTGTAATTGTGTATTTAGAATTGGCTTAATTTTGTTATAATAATGAATTAATATTAAAGATTGGCATTTACTTTTTCAAATTAGGTAATAAAATAGACTTGGAAAAGGAGAGACATGTGTCCATTCAAGAAGCAGAATCGTAAGTGTTATCCCTGCCATCCTCCCAATGACACCCCTTCCTCCCCCAACAATCACTCCCCAGTAGAAGTCTTCCTTTTAGGAGTGTGCTTTACCATTTAGGTATTACTCTAATGCAGTGATGGCGAACCTTTTGAGCTCGGCGTGTCAGCATTTTGAAAAACCCTAACTTAACTCTGGTGCCATGTCACATATAGAAATTTTTTTATATTTGCAACCATAGTAAAACAAAGACTTATATTTTTGATACTTATTTTATATATTTAAATGCCATTTAACAAAGAAAAATCAACCAAAAAAATGAGTTCGCACGTCACCTCTGACATGCGTGTCATAGGTTCGCCATCACTGCTCTAATGTCTGGTTTGAGGTTGGTTTTTTTTGTTTTGTTTTTTTTAATATATTTTATTGGTTTTTTTACAGAGAGGAAGGGAGAGAGAGAGAGAGAGCTAGAAACATCGATGAGAGAGAAACATCGATCAGCTGCCTCCTGCACTGGGGATGTGCCTGCAACCCAGGTACATGCCCTTGACCGGAATCGAACCTGGGACCCTTGAGTCCGCAGGCCGATGCTCTATCCACTGAGCCAAACCGGTTTCGGCTGGTTTGAGGTTTTTTAATGTTTCTTTTATATATGTATATATTGATTTCAGAGAGAGGAAGGAAAGGGAGAGAGAGATAGAAACATCAGTGATGAGAGAGAATTATCGATCGGCTGCCTCCTGCATGCTCCCCACCAGGGATCAAGCCTGCAACCCCAGCATGTGCTCTGACCAGGAATCGAACTGTGACCTCCTGATTCATGAGTTGATGCTCAACCACTGGACTACACCAGGCATGCTCAAATGTCTTAATATAGATTGAGCTGTTGGATTCAGTGAAGTATGTTAACATTGGTAATTTCTAGACTTTTGGCTGTATATAAAGATAATCCACTCTCACATCTCCTTATGATTTCAGTAAAAAATATAAAGTAATGCATAAGAAAACTATCATGATCAAATAGTTAGTGTGTCACAAAAACTTTTAAAATATTTGGGTTCCAAGTTAACTTATAAAAATTTTAAATCGCCGAAACCGGTTTGGCTCGGTGGATAGAGCGTCGGCCTGCGGACTGAAAGGTCCCAGGTTCGATTCCGGTCAGGGGCATGTACCTGGGTTGCGGGCACATCCCCTGTGGGAGATGTGCAGGAGGCAGCTGATCGATGTTTCTCTCTCATCGATGTTTCTAATTCTCTATCTCTCTCCCTTCCTCTCTGTGAAAAATCAATAAAATATATTTAAAAAATAAAAAATTTTAAATCTTGTTAACTTGTGCTCATCTAAAATTTGGTTCAATGTACAGAGATGTGAAACAGCTATATATAATCTTTTATTATTTTTAAAATATATTTTAGTTGATCTTTAGAGAGAGAGAAAGGGAGAGGGAGAGAGAAAGAGAAACAGATGTGAGAGTGGAACATCAGTCGGCTGCCTGGGTTGCTTCCTGCATGCCCCCCACGGGAGATCGAGCCCCAAACCCAGCCGTGTGCCCTGACTAGAATTGAACTGGCAACCTCGTAGTACATGGGCCAACTGCCCAACCAACTGAGCCACACCAGCCAGGGCTATAGTCTTAATTTTGTTAAATCTGGGCTAATTAAAGGTCACTAAACTTGGTACTATGAAAAAATTCACATAGCTGTGAATATGAGAAATATTTTTTACATTGGTCATTGATGATATGATTTTTTTTAAGGTATGCAGAATCTGTGGGAGCAAAACATTATCATACATCAGCCAAACAGAACAAAGGAATTGAGGAACTCTTTCTTGACCTCTGTAAAAGTAGGTATATTTAGATTTAGTATATTTAGAAATGGCTTTTTAAAATATAAGATTTCTAAAGTGATGTTTTACAATCTCCATTAATGACCACATTGATGATTTGTCACATCTACCATTACTACTATTTACTTAATATTTTTCTTTAACTCCTTTCTTTTTTATATATATTCTTATTGATTTCAGAAAGGGAGAGAGAGAGAGAGAGAAACATCAATAATGAGTGAGAATCACTGATCAGCTGCCTCCTACTGGGGATGAAGCCCACAACCTGGGCATGTGCCCTGACCAAGAATTGAACCCTGACCTCCTTGTTCATAGGTCGATGCTCAACCACTGAGCCACACCAGTTGGGCAAGATATTTTATTTGTTTAATTTTTTTTTCTTTTTTCAGAGGAAGGGAAAGGGAAAGAGAGATGGAAACATCAATGATGAGAGAGAATCATTGATCTCTGCTGCCTCCTGCACACCACCTACTGGGCAATGAGCCTGCAACCCGGGCGTTTGCCCTTGATGGGAATCGAACCCAGGAACCTTCAGTCTGCAAGCCAACACTCTATCCACTGAGCCAAACCAGTTAGGGCAAGAGTTATTTTTTTTAACAAGAGTTCTTATCTTTTACAGATGATTATATTATTAGAATAATTTATGTATAAAATTATGTATATGGGCCCTGACCGGTTTGGCTCAGTGGATAGAGCGTCAGCCTGCAGACTGAAGGGTCCCAGGTTCGATTCCAGTCAAGGGCATGTACCTTGGTTGCGGGCACATCTCCAGTAGGGGGTGTGCAAGAGGCAGCTGATCAATGTTTCTCTCTCATCGATGTTTCTAACTCTTTCCCTCTCCCTTCCTCTCTGTAAAAATCAATAAAATATATTTTAAAATTATGTATATGGGATTTGACTCAAAATAATGGTAAGGATGCTTGCCAGGTATGGATGAAATTGTGTGATGGACATACGGATTTTCATTATGCTGTTCTTTCCAATTTTATGTATACGTTTGAAATTTTCTGTTATTAAAAAGTTGCTTAAAGAGAGAAAGGAAAATGTTTATTTATATATACCCTGGAAGTCATTTCTCATATCACTAATAAAATACATATTTTGGAAAACTCAAGTCTATGGAATAATGGATTGAAATGATTTTGATAATTTATATTCCTTGAACTTATGGACATCAGACTCTTTTGAGAATTTGATGAAACTGGTTTTTCTCTGTAGAAAAATGTACATGTATACAAACTTTGGAGTAAATTTCAGTTCTATGAAAACCTGAAAGTCATTCATAATTGTTCTAGAGTAATAATTTTCTAAGTGAAGTGCCCTTAGCAGCATCAGCAGCATCACTTGAGACTGTGTTAGAAATGCTGCAAATTCTTGGGCCCTACCCCAAATCTACTGAATCAAAATCTAAGGAGGTGGTGCCCAGAATCTGTGTTTTAACAATCCCTCTGTATGATTCTGATGCACTCTAAAATTTGAGAAGCACTGCTGTGTATACCAATCTCTTGGGGATCTTGTTTAAATGGATCTGGTGGGGTCTGAGCTTCTCATTTCTAACCCAGCTGGTGATGCTGGTCCTCCTTCAGACTGTACTTTGACTACCACGCGCTAGATCTGGCTTATAAATGTTTGAATCACATGTCTTCATAGAAAATTTTGAACATTCCCCATATGTTTATTTAAAAATACAGAACATACACAAGTATGAATATATTTTGTACATTATAAAACACATAAATAATTTTAAAGGTTGCGGAAAGCTAAGCAGAAGTTAGAATTTGTAATGTTTTCTAATTTCATTTCAGTGGATTGTTCTCGCTTCAATTTGGAAACCATTGTTCAAGAGCAGTGTCTCGACCCAAATTTAAGAACTCTTGTTCTGTTTTGAGGATTCCATCTGTTCTTTCCTTATCTTTTCGGATATGTATTTTGCAGTTATTTACTCCTGTCTATGTCTTGTATTTTCATTTTTCTTAACTGTGTCTCTTAAAGAGCAGAAGTTCTAAATTTTAATGAGGTCTGATTCATTAGTTACTCCTATGATTTCTGGTTTTTGTGTCTTATGTGAGAAATCTTTACCAAACTCAAAGTCACAAAGATTTTCCCCTGTAAAGATTTCCTCCTATGTTTTTTCTAGAAACTTTGTTTTATGTTTTACATTTAGATTTAGTATATGAATGTAAAACATTTTTTATTAATGAAAAATGTAATAACATTTTTGTTAATTTAGCATATGGTGAGAGGTATAAGTTGAGGTTTATTTTTTACATATAACTGTCCAGTTCCACTACTGTTTTCTTGAAAAGATTATCCTTCATTGAATAATCTTGGCACATATGTCAAAAATCAAGTGACCGTGGCTCTGTATCTGGACTCTGTTCCACTGATCTCTGTATTTCTCCTTTCATCAATATCTGTCTTCATAAGAATAGCTTTCTACTATATCTTTAAATTAGATAGTGTGAGTTCTCCAGATTTGTTCTTCTTCATGTTAAACTCTTTTATTATTTCAAATATGCATTACTAGTTGAAGACTAAATCTTGCACCCTAAATATCACTTGTTCTTGGAACAACTTGGACGTCTTTGACATATTTCTAAGTACATTTGAAAAATCTTAAGGATTATACTTATCCTTTTATTCATTTGTTCAAGCCAAAAAATTTTTTTTCTCTGTCATTGTGGCCATTATATATCTAGACAAATAAACTTGCTATTAATTTTTAAACTTGCAGGAAAAACTGTATAGTGAGCTGACAGAATGTTTATTATATTTAGTTCCTTTTTTGGTTTAAAGTCAGAAATGGCTATCATGCTGGTATACGAAATTATAAAAAGAAAATTCTAAGATTGTAGTCTTAAATAATCTCTGCTTTCTTCCTCTCTTAGGGATGATAGAAACAGCACAAGTGGATGAGAGGGCAAAAGGCAATGGCTCCAGTCAACCAGGAGCTGCCCGGCGAGGTGTACAGATTATTGATGATGAACCTCAAGTCCAGAGCAGTGGTGGAGGGTGCTGTTCTTCTGGATAACTGTTCACACCTCAGAAATTAAAACAAACTGTGGATCATTGCCCTCAACATGAAGACTGCCATATTCCAAGTCACATTATTTTACCAATGGGATTATAGAATTAACAGTATTTTAAATTACGTTTATAACACTGCAGAGACCTTAAGTGCTAAACTTAGTGGAGTTTGTGACCAGAGAATTGGCATTTTCTACAAATGTTAACAAAGCAATTACCAATGGCCTTTTTACATATTTTTTTCTTTAATAAGGAATAATATGCATGTAGAAAAGACCTACTTAAAGGCTTCATTTATATTCTTTTAAATCAAATCTTTATTTAATAACTTATATATGTTGTTGGAATGGTATACATTTTGCAGCCCTTTGTATTTTGTGGTAGTTTGAACTGTATCACTTCCAAACAGTAAACTGTTTTTGTTTTTGTTTTTTAATTAGCAAATACCCGAAGTACTATTTTTGCAGGGTTTGCACAGGCCCCTATAACTGTCTACTACTTTGATATAATCTATATACATCCTGTATGCTGAGCTGGTAAAATACATTGTAAATTACATATTAAATATTTTATCTGCTTTTACAAGCGCAAGGTGCAAAAATATATACAATAGTTTCATTGATGACTGTAAAGTGATTAACATTTGATGATAATGCCTAAGCTTTCTGACTCTGATATATAAAGATCGTAGCTCCCTTCACTTTTGTCTTAACTTGAAAGTGGCGTGTTTAAATTTTCACAAATACTTTACTTGAATTACTGCTGTTGTCACATGTTTTGGCCTCTGTAAGTTCAACCGATGATCGAGCAGCGGCATTTGCCTTTTGGTTTGGGTTTTATTTGTTTGTTTGTTTGTTTTTATAAAAGAGATGACTTCTGCCAATTTTGCTTTAGAATGGTTATCTTAGAAATATTTGAGTGGAGCATGCTGAGTTTCACTTTTTCAACGGCTTTGGTTTTCTCTTAAGCTTCATATGAGAAGGGTTTATTGATGTAAGAAGAGAAAAAGGGGTCCCAGACAGTAGCCACTCAACAAGACTAATTCATGCAGCATGTTAGTGGTAGTTTATGCTCCTGAGACAGCACTTTTAGATCTTTTGTGAGCAAGTTGTATTTGCGTAATGCTTGCCAGAGATGAACACAGAAAGTTTTGTTTAATTTTATAAGAGCTGTTTTGAGTTTCTGTGAAGGGAAACATTTCATGAAATGCAGTTACAGAGAACACTGGAAAGATTTATTATAAAATTATATTCTTGTATACTTTGTAAATTAGTCTCTCATTAGATTTTTTTTTTCATTAAGCATAGGACTGAACTTAAATTTGTTAATTTTAATATAATCAGGCACTGCTCACAGAAGGAACACAAATGGTAGACATTAACATAAATTGTTTTTGCTCTAATATATATATTTTTCCATTTCTGTCATGCTTGGAAAACTAGTAAATGTTATGTCTAAGATAAAATGGAATGGTCCCTGGATTTACTTCTAATAAGAAGCAGCAGTATCCAATAAAGTTGTTAGCATGCACAATTAAGAGGATATAAAGAAGTACTACCATATTTTTAAGTTAAAAGCTTAAACTTTCCCAAATGGGTTAAAAGTTGAATGAACTGATTTTATGATGTTACAATTTTTACTTAGTATTAAGGATTCTGTGAGCCTTTGCTTTACCAATTTTTTCTTTTTAAATCTTTATTGTTGAAAATATTACTTATCCCCCTTTTCCCCCCATTGACTTCTTCTAGCCCGCCCCCGCCTCCTGCCTCCTTCACCACCCTATTGCACTTTACCTTTTTTAATGATTGTCCTTGCCAAACTCAACAAACACATTGACCTCTGTTGTGTGTGTTTGGAGGGGTGGGGTGGAAAAAAGTCAGGGAGATAAGTTAAAATTGTCTTCGGTGGCTGTACTCTGTGTAGTTTCTCGGTTTTCTGGGAGTTTGATGTTTATGCAGGGAATTGGGGAAGGTTGGGGGAATCATGAGTATAATAGAGGAAAATTGTTTTGACTTTCTTTCAGAAGTAATAAAGAAAGCCTTGCCATTTCTGCTGTTGTAGATGGGAAGCAAGCTCTTTTCCATTGGAGTGAAAAAGGTTTTTTAAAGTAGAGATGAAATTGAGCATTATTCCAAAAAAAATAATGTTATGAAACCTGATAACTGGAGAACTGTGCTCTCAATTTTGACCTTTTAAAGTCTAGATAGGAACCTCTGCTCTGGAGTTGCCAGATAATTATTGGTGGGCCACCACCGCTCTCCCTGTTTTGTTTTGTTTCCTCCCCTCCTCCTCTATTCTCCCTTGGCTTCTGTGTGTAGCTTTCTTAACATCAAGCATTCTATTCTTTTTTAAACCTGTAATTTAAGTTAATCCAATAGCAACAGTATAGTATTCCTGTCCTTGCTCAGAAGCCCCAAAGGTCTTTAGATATGAATAGCTTGAAAGGGAAATGAAGAAGACCAATCAGTTGTAATGGGTATACAAAGGAAAGGTAAAGCGATAATAGACCAAGGCTGAGGAAGTTTATCCAGTCTTTCTTCACATTTAATATATATTTTGTATTCCTATTGTTGTAATTGTGCTATTAGGAAGAAGACACAAGTTACCATGTGTAGTAAAAATAGAATCAATATATTTTTCAAATAGTAAGTGTATACATTTAGTATATATAATTAAAAATTGGTTTAGTATTGTCATTAAAAATACTTAATATTATGTTAAAAAGTATACGATAATAAATGAAGGGTCCCAGGTTCGATTCTGGTAAAGGCACATGCCTGGGTTATGGGCTCGATCCCCAGTGTGGGGCATGCAGAACACAGCCGATCAGTGATTCTCTTTCATCATTAATGTTTCTATCTCTCCCTCTCCCTTCCTCTCTGAAATCAATAAAAATATCTAAAAAAAAAAAAAAAAAAAAGTAGGTTGCAATAATCTGGAGGTAAATGGTAATTTGAAAAGAAAAAAAGCATCATATTATTGGATAAATATGAGTGAATTTGTTTTGTTCTAGGGATGTTTCCTGAAAATACCCTAAATCTATGGCTGTTACAGCTAAATTAAGATCTTTTTTATATATTAACCATATATTATTAGTGATTACTTTTAATTTGGCCTTCAGGTAAGAAAGGAATGATAATCACTTTTAGATTTTCAATAAGAAAATAGAAAATTTGGGAACTAGAGAAGGGGGTAATGAGGAGTAAATGTGAAACTCTATAACCTGACAATTTTTAAAAGTATTTTGAAAAATACGTTACTTTTATCACATAGTTTGTAAATAAGGCAAGCTGTGCATTGTGCCAAATATTTAGAACATTAAAAAAAAGGAATTGTGATGCTATTTCTTTTAATACACAATTTGCAATTTTCTGTATTGTAAATGCTACCAAGAATCCAGATCATTTATTATCTCCAGATAACATAATTTCCCCTTGTAATTACCAGTTATCTCTAGAAGTGGTTTGATCTGTGCCTTTTACTTTTCAAATTTAACTTCTGTTTGCCATTATAATTTTCATAGGTTCTTTATAGACAGTGTGACAAAGAGGGAATACTTAATTGGAAGCTGTAAGATGTTGGGATCTTCTACAAGAGTGTAGATAGTAGTGACCAGCAGTAGTCTAACAATAATGTCTAAAGATAAAAGAGACTGAATAGATTCTCTCCCCCCCCCCCTTATTTTCATCAACATTTTCACAATGATTTGCTTTATTTTATTTTATTTGGTATTTTTCTATTGTTTATTACAAATAGTAGTATATATGTCTCCTTTTTTCCCCTCCATTGACCTTCCCCTGGCCTCCCCTACCCCTGGCACATGCCCTCACTCCCCCCCCCCCCCCCCCCCGCCAAGTGTCTGTGTCCATTGGTTATCCTTTCAATAGATTCTTAAGTATTCTTTTCTAAACAAAATGCATTACCTAGATTTTAGTAATTAAAAGCTGAGATTCATTGAACATACACATTTACTTGATTTTATAATAGGCATTGATTCTAGTATGTTCTGTAATTTTTAATCAACTAACAGTAATGTATTTGGTGTTGTGGGCCAAAATTCATGCTATATCTATCTTATTTCATTGGGTTTTCTCTTTTCAAGAAAAACAGATTAATCACAACCGGAGCGAATTTTCCTAAATGTAAATAGTTTAGTCTTATCATATGTCATGAAAAAAATTATAAATACTCTTGAGTTTCCAATATCAAGCAAAAATGCTTCACTTCTAAATAAATACTACTTTAGCACTACTTGTACTATCTGGGGTATGTATACAGGGTTCCTCAAATGTATACATACGTTGAATGATTTTGAAGTCAGTGTTTAACATACAGTTCATTTTCAGAAATTAAAAGCATCTACAGAAATGAATAAATTTTTTTTTGTCAATGCATGTTTTCAAACTGATGACTTCATTGCTGCTAATCCAAGCAATGGAATTGCAAATATTAAGAATTATTCTGCTTGGTACTTGTGTGCCCTCAATTCGGCAACTGTTGTCGGTTTTGTACCGTAAACTTACTTGTATGTATCCCCATTAAAAAAAAGTATAGTGGCACATTCGGATACGTTTTCTTCAAAGCTTAGTCTGCCTTCACCTATTATTTCAAATCGGTTAAACCTGAAAAGGAGTGAAAAGTGAGTTATCAGCTGTTGAAGTGTGTATACATTTTGGAGGACACCCTATATAATCTCTTTCTGAGAAGCTGAATGTACTTTTGAGTATTAACTTTTCTACTGCAACATTTTCTCTGTAGTAGACAAATGAGCATTGAAAGTTAATATTACATGGTACACCTAGCAAGAAAGCATCTTGCCCTCTTCAGAAGCCTGCACATATTTCCAAATGCATCACATTAAAACCAGAAGATGGGCTTACCTACTTAAATAACCTTTATTCCCACTGTATTAGTTCTTACCTTGATTTTGATATTTCCTGGCAGCTGTATCATCTCTTCATTATTAGATGCTCAAGAAAAAGCTAATATGATTTTCTTATATTTGAACTTGTCTAGAGCAATGAGAGAAATGAGGGATAGGGATAAAGTATGATAATGTTGAAAAATAGACAACAGTGGTATTTGGTAGCAAGCTATTTTAAGGAAGCCATTATATGTAGTACTTCCTAGAAATGTGAAGTTCTTCATTTTGTATTTAATTATCTAAATACATTCTAGAAAAAAAGAATAAAAACATAGATACTGTGAAAGTGCCCCTTAGGAACTTGCCTCCCAAATGGTCACCCTTGCTCTCTAATATATACTATTCAATTACCTTTTTGCCATACATAGTTTAGTTGGGCTTACAATTTTTACATGAATTGTTCTTACTATGCATATGTTTTGCAACTTGCTTTTTTTCTTACCAACATGCCTAGGAGCTCTTACCCTATATAATAAAATGCTAGTATGCAAATCGACAGAACGTCAGGACGATGGGTCGCTATGACACACAGGGAGCACCACTAAGCCACAAGTCAGGCTGGTGAGTGCAGTGGTGGTGGCAGTGGGAGCCTCCCGCCTCTGTGGCAGCGCTATGGATGTCCGGCTGTGGCTTAAGCCCGCTCTCCCTCAGACTCCCCTGAGCGCTACCAGACTGCTAAAGTGCGCAGGCCGGGCTGAGGTGATCCCCACCCCCAAGTGCATGAATGTCGTGCAACAGGCCTCTAGTGTCAGTGTAACAGACGTTCATTTTATTTTCTCCCATATGTCTTTGGGCATATTTTGCCTTTTTGAATTACCTCCAAAAAGATACCTGGTTAATTTGGTGGACTTCATTAGAATCATAAAATTTTAATGCAAACCAGTGCTTACTTAGAATCAGTCTCCCTTAAATGTGTAAATCAGGAAATTAGAACGGCATCTGCTTACAATTAATTTGAAGTACATTATTTTTGGACTGTTGACTGATTAGAATAAAAAATTTAGGAGTTAACTTAAGCAGGTTCTTTAGGTTTTTATTTGAGGGAAGAGGAAAAAGAGGGAAGTATAATTGTTAGGGAAAAGTACAGGATAAACTAAAGTCTTCATACAACTCCTAGTAATTATGTCACATAAGACTTAATGCTACCAAAAATTTAAACTTTCATTTGTTCTGTGCCTTTAGAGTAAAAAAAATTTAAGTTCCTTTTCAGATCTCCCTTTCCCCACCATCTACATAACTCTTTAGAGGTACCCATTGTTAACAACTTAGGGTGTGTTTGTATCCCTATTATATATAAATGTTTTTATTATATTTGACCTTTATATGTTTCAGTTCCCTGAAAGCAACTTTTACCCTATGTCAGATTCCATCCTCAATCAACTGACCAATTTATCAAGAACAAACCAGAGAATCCCACCTTAACGAAAGTTAAATCACTGTTAACAGTTCTTAAACTAGAAATTAACTAACTCTTAATATATTTTATATTTATGATAAATTAAGCTTAAAGAGTAACCATAGCACTCTGGGAAAGTCAAATTGATTATTGGTTTCTATTCCCTGTGTAAATATGGCTGAGAAGGAGGAGTGTGCAAGTCCAAGCTCCTTAATACCCAGGTAATTTTGGGTTGGGCTCATTCATTCTCTTGGCATACTTTCCTACTTGGGGAGCATTGCAATGTCCCCAACAATTGCTTCAGATTCTTCTTTGCAATAGTTGTCAAAGCAATAGTTTAGCACATTAGTGCCATGACATAAAGTTAAGTGTGTGTGCCCCAGAACAACAATTATTCAAATTTATTCTTATTTGATTTTTAATGAAAACAACTCAGCAATTGAAGCACAACTTTCCATGATTTTTTAATTTTCTGGTGGTCATTTAAAAAATGTGAAACAAACAAAAAAAAAAGTGAAACATTCTGCTTATCATGACTTCTGTCAATTTCACTTATTGAGTGCTGTGTGCCCAGTGTCCTTTATAGTTAGAGCTTAAAATTAGGGAGCCATTGCCCATACTCCAGCATGTAAGTACTTTATCTGTGGATATGAGGTGAACAAATCAGGCATGTTCACATTCTGTATTTGATCAGATATCTACCAGTGAAACTTCAGAGGTAATTAGAATGACAGTAGTTGAAGCTGATGGTGAAAGTTGAGGTAAAGCTGAACAGAATGATTTTGAGTCTTGCAAATAATTTTAAAGCCAGATTAAAATAGCTATTGTTTTTTAGCTTCAAGGGAGCAATTACTAGTAAATGATCCTCAAGCCCAAATTGCTTTTCCAAATTTTGTGGTAACAGTGCAGAAACAGATGCCTTGTGCTTATTTAGTTGCTTTTTTTTTTTAACCTAGAAAAAATGCATTTTAAAAAGCAATTTTTTATTGTTGC